AAAGAAAGAAAGAAAGAAAGAAAGAAAGAAAGAAAGAAAGAAAGAAAGAAAGAGGAAGAAAGAAGAAAGGAAGGAAAGAAAGAAAACAAAAGCCTGTAAGGGATTATACTCAGAATAGGCCTTTTGGAAAATGATGTTTTCCTCTATGACTAGATAAAAATTAAGACTGTATAAAAAGGCAGGCAGGTTGGAGGAAGAGAGACAAGCTGGAGTCATTCATTTCTCGTGCCATTTCATCTACACAGTGGAGGGCTGGAAAGTCTACAAGGAGCCTTTCAGTTAGCTGAAGCCAAAGGTATCAGCTACCGTCCGAATGGGCATAAAACTAAAGTGGCAAGAAACATATGCGAGATGCCAGGCTGTGTGCGCAACCTCTCAGCACAAGCTTAGCCTCAGTTCAGTCAGCCCAGGGCAGCAGCAAGGAAGTCACCTGGAGAACTGACCTGTGGCCCAGCAGAAGGGAGAGGGCTTGACAGCAGAACAAAGACGGTTTGTTCCAGCGCAGGAAAAGGAAGACCACGGGCACATGGCTGATCAATGTGGAAGGAGGAGGGACACTAGCAGAGACACTGAATGAATTCCAGGAGCGGGTTAAGTAGTGGTTCTGGGATAGCAGAGTTGGAACAGTGTAATCTACTCACAGCACAGCATTTCAGGAATCAGGAAGATTTGGAACCCAGAAAGAATAGTCCGCTTGTATTTAAGAACCAGATATGGGGGAACTTCAGCAGGTGTGGGAATTTTCATAGTTTGGAATACTGATGGGCATTAGCGATGAAAGGAAAGAAATGAACTATCCTTGTATAAGCTTCTTGTCACCATAATGAATGACCCAGACCACACAGAGAGAAGAAAGGGTTTTCGGAACTCAAGGCTTCAGGTGCTACTTTCCATTGTCAGCTGCCTATGGTGGCATATCACCATGGCACTTCATGGCAGGCTACTGTGAGGGAGCAAAAACATTGGTCTCATGCCTACAAGGTCTCACTATGTCCCTCACAGACATTTCTCCACTGGAATGACTACCTCCCATTGGGACCCAACTGTTAAAAGTCCCACCATATTCCAAAGGCTCCAAGGTAGGATGAAGCCTTTGACACACTGTCTTCAGATCCAAACCACAATGCTACTGCAACAACTCAAAGAATGAAACTTGGGAGCATAAATATGAAAGCAAATGTGGGCGGGAAGAAACTGCTTTCATGTCAAATAATAATGTGTAGTTTTACAAGGTTGCTCTTTCTGTGATTCAGTATGAGTCAGCTGATATGCAGAGATAGTCAACTTAATTTGCATAAAACTTGTTGTGAATCATCTTCCTTTAAATCCATACTTGGCTAGATATTTTCCTTTCCTGAAACTGACCTATGAATAGTTTGGCTCTGTCTTCCACACTCTGCCCTTCCACAGACTTCTTTATGTCACTAGATTCAAAGTTTTAAATGACCTCAGTGCCTTCCAATACAGTAGGTTCTACTGTCTTGTTTGTCTTTCTACTCCTCATTAGTTAATTTTAATGTGTCAATCTACCTTCTAACTCAGGGACTGCAACTCCAGTGCTAGCTAGACATCCTGCAGAGTGACAAATGACAGAGTACTCTTCTTGAAGCAGGTTTGGGTTCTGAAATAAGCTTGTATATAAGGAGTGATGGGTAGAAATGGAGAGAGAAAGCAAGCAGGATTTTATCCCACCAAAAAGCAGCCTTGGATGTAAGAACTTTGAAGGGAAAAGACTGTGATAGACGGAAGGTAATAGTGTCTTTCTAAAAAAAAAAAAAGTTGGGGTAGGAGAGGTGGTTTAGCTGATAAAGTGCTTGCTGTGAAAATATCAAAACCCATACACAAAATGTCACAGAGTTACAGTTCTAGGTAGGTTTCTTGTTCAACCTAGCCTAATCAGCAAATTCCAAGCTAGTTGGAGCCCCGTGTGTGTGTGTGTGTGTGTGTGTGTGTGTGTGTGTGTGGTCCTTGGACCAATACTCAAAGTTGATCTCTGGCTTCCATCTCCAGAAACACAGGCACACACACTCACACACATACACAGATGGGGGGGGGGAGAGGCAGAGAGACACAGAGGAGACAGAAACAGAGAGACAGAGAGACAGGGACAGAAACAGAGATTTTTCACAAAGTAAAAACAAGTGAGACGATGCAGATATCTCTTGGTCCTTTGAGTGATGCTGGGAGAATACAAAGGGAGCTCAGAATGACAGAACAGAGTGATACCATTACACTTAGTAAGGACTCAAAAACATATTTACCCAAGAAACCATTTCTGTAGAAGTTTTTGTTTGAAAATTGCCAAAGATTTGTTGATAAGGAAAAGCGAAGATAAAAATCTACAGTGTTTTGCTACCCTTACATATAAAGATTTACCTTCCAGTCTCAGTATCAAATCCAAAGGACTGGTCTTGACACTGGTCACACCTCTGCCCAGAAGTGGAGGGATCACGGCAAGAGCACTGCCCCGTGACACTGCTACAGATGTGGCTCACGGCTCCAGCTGTGTGGCATAAGCATGGCAGGCAGCCTGTGGCATGGCCAGGAGGAACGTAAAAGCCTAGAAATAATAATTAGAAAAGGTTTGTCTTCACTTTCTGTTCAGTGTTCTCTAAACATGATAGTGTTTTGATAGCACAGGAAACCAAAAGCTGCTCAAGGGACCCGGGCTTTTCCTATAACAGCAGAGAGAGCTCTTCTTAACGAGTATACTAATTACAAATGAAAACAACTGTTCAGTCACCTACATGAAAACATAGCGTAGGGGTTGGGGAGGCTGCCCAGTGGTTAGGAACACTCGCTGCTCTTACAGAAGTCCCGTGTTCACCTCTAAGGCCTCACATGGAACTCACAACTGTCTCAAACTCCAGTCCAGGAGAGCTGAGACCCTCTTTGGACCTCTCTAGGCACCAGACACCTGCATGATGTACTTATGCACACAGGCAAAACATTCGCTCACATTTATACTTGATTAAAAACAAGGTGAAATAAGTTAGGCCTATTTGAAGTTCTTCAGCTAAAACCTGGTTCTCCTCTACTTAGCTCCAAAGAGTTACCAAGTAGGCAGTGGTATGTCCTATATACCAGAGACACAGTTGGTAAGAAAGTCGGATAAGAGACAGGATTCCTAGTTAAAATTTAACAATGATTTTATAATAAAAAAAAATGTGCTATCATTCAGACTAAATGGTTGTTATTGGAAATTCAAGCATAACTGATCATTCCAAATATTATGAAATTTATCAACCCTTACACTGTCTTTTTCATCTATGATTTACACTTTGTTTACCATCAAGACCTATGGACAGTGTCTTCTGAGGATTTTAAATCTTCCATTGTCCCTTCCCGCCTCCCTGTGAAGGCTGCCAACAGGTTTACCACAGTGTGTACCGTGAGCCGGTGCTACAGAAGGAGACATACATACATTCATTCATTATGACATCCTTTATGTAGAGTAGAAAAGTAAAGCTTAGGATGAATCATGGAGTCCCCTCAAATGCTAAACTTGAATAACCCAAGCCAGGGTCAGGCTGCCCAGGTCCAGTGGCCATTTACCCACTGAAGGCCTCACCTCCTGTCAACCGACTTTCCACAGTGGAGCCTGAACAGCCTTTCTCAAAGCATACTTCTAATATCTCTTCCCTCTGTTCAAAACCAGTTTATGGCTGTTTCCTTCTAGAAAAACATAAAACAAGTTGCTGCCATGGCTTTCCACCCTGTCATCACCGACACACACACACACACACACACACACACACACACACACACACACACCCCTCTACAGTCATCTCCTACTGCAGAGTTGCTTTCTGTCCCTTCGTGACCCTTGCATGCCCTTCTGGATGGGGGCTGCTCTGTCCATGGCAACGGTTTCAACCCACTCCTTCTGCTTAGTTTATTCCTGTAAGCCAGGTCTCCTCAATTCCATGAACAAATTTCTCTAGGCCAATTTGGGCATGCCACTGACAGCTTCGCTGAATCCCGCTGATTCCCACCAGTGCCCAGAAACATACAATTAATCTAATTTTCATCAGACTGTCACCTTCTTCAGGGACAGATCCTCATCTGTATGAATCATGATTCCCTCCACTGCCTGTATTGGGCCTTCACTAAACAGGCATGAACTAATAAAAATGGATGCAGGGATCCAGTGAGGTCCACATGAAATACACTCCTCAAACCTCATGCACACACATACGAGTGCATGTGCACACAGTTCAAAGATTTGATTCCATGTCCACATCATTTTCTTATGTCAAAAGTAAAGGCAGAAAAGCTGGACTCACAATCACACTGGAAGTCAGAAAGGCTTTAGACATTTGCAGGATGGAGCAGACATGTGAAATCTAATAGGTTCTTGGTGTAGCGTGATGTAGATACGTGGAAATGCACACAAGCACATACCAACTGAGACACACAAGCATATGCATGCTGCCAGGGATATTTAACTGAGACAACAGAAAAGAGGGATCACAGAAAGAACCTACTGAGTGAGGTTATGGAAGATGAAAATTCTGGAAAGGCTGTGATCATTACATTTTGTGATATATTAGTCTTAGTGAAGAGAAAAAGCAGGAAGTCAAAATCAACATTTCCTGTGTTGTCTGTCCCATCAGGAAAAGCAGAGAATAACTGGTGAGGTCTCACACATACTGGAGTATCAAGTTAAAAAGAAGCCCTCATCCTAAAGTCCCAAAATTCATCAGTTTTCCTTTTCCTAGTCCTAGCCATGCCCTGAGACAGCTTCCAAAGTACCAAAAAGTTGTGTTCAGTCAGAGTACAAGGAATGAATGGAAAGATGTAGACCATGATGGTAGATGGCACAGATGACATCATCGTCACAATATTTTACCTGATTCATTTCTCTGTATTTGTCCTTCCATCCACTTGCAGGAATAGGTTGTAGCCACGTTAGCTAACACCTGTTCCGGCACCTGGTCCTCACACGAGGTAAGCCACAGATTCTGAAGGCTTCTCCTTGGTGTCTGAGACAGAATGTGTGCTTCTCTTCTGAGGAAGTACCTAGCTCCTTAAATTCATACAGATGGTATCCCGAAGCCCTAACAGTTCTCCGATTTGGATAAATTACCCATTAGCATAGATACTTAGAATTAATTTGGACTTATTGCAATAGCTTTGAGCCACAGAGAATTCTCCACCAATTAAGGATCATTTTTACAAGAAATGATTTATTAGCTAAGACTGTGTATAAATGGGGTGCACTTTGATACATAAGATTAGGCAGCTCAAGGAGAGCAAGAGACCGCACAGAAAAATATCAGAACTATAAGCAGAGAAGAACAACCAAAGAGAATGTGCAAAGCACAAGAGCACCCAAGGAGGCTTCACTGTGGGGATCCCAGGAGGCAGCCATAATGGACTCTCTGTTCTCGGGACTTGATTAGAAAGGTTATTCCCACCAGTATTTTCGTTGTCCTATTTTTAAGTGGCTCAATTAGAATGACGCAGGGAACTTCCTGTTCCCAGATTATCTGTGGTGTCACCTGAATGTGCCTAATTCTAGACCCTTACCTCTCTTTTGATGGCTTCCAACTATAGAAAACACTTCCTCATCCACTCCCGAGTGTGGGCTTAATAACTGACCTTAATTTCTTCCTTGACTCCATACATCTCTGACCTCATTCCATTACCTCAGCTTCATGGTGCACATCTTTACATCGGTGTCATCTTTGCTGAGATCTCTGAACCTGTTTTCCCTCATGAATGTCTATATGCTGCCTTCTTAAACACTGCCACCAGGTCAATGTGCTAACTTTGGCTTGTGTACAGTTGAAAGTTCACAGACACAAACCAGCTTGGCAGAGCTTAACACTTCCCCTCTTCATTCAGCTAACTCTTGGTCCTGAACAATACAAACCTCAGGTAGAAGACAGTGTGTCTCCAGTTCAGAGACATCAGTCCTCACATCAGAACACCGCTGCACCGGAAAGAGCCTCCCAGAACCCACAGAGTCCTATGTTATTAGCAAGAGTGAGGGCAGTGTCTCCTGTTGCGGCTATTTGCACAGCACAGCGCCTGTCCGGAGCATAAACGAGAGCCTATTTCCCAGCAATATCCCTCCTGGGGACGATGAACAACTAGGTTTTGCTAAGGTCCTGAAATGGGAGAAGGAAAACAGACTTAACCTCAGGGCCATGTTCAGAAAAGGAGGGCAGCTCTGGGCTCCGCACTCATTACAAGGCCATTAGGAGAGAGTCCTCTGTACCTTAAACGGTGGACACGGTACTCACAGGAGGGATCTTTGGCTGGATAATCAGGGTGTCTGGATGCAGCACCAATGGCTGCAGTTTTCAAATGAGGATACTAATGCTTCTCTTCCTTTTGGTGGTTTTTTTTTTTTAAATAAAAACAATGCTAACAGCATCTTCCATACTTTTGACCCACTATTCATGGAAGCATAAACACAATAGCATTCATTCCAGTGTTATTTAGGGTAATTATCACTCTTATTAAATTAGATAGGCTGCAAATGATCTGCATTTATACCCTCTTTTGGCAGCCATTTTGCTCTGCTATACCTTACCAGCTCTCGGATACTCTTAACACCCAGCTCATATTTTTTTTCTATTAAATCATCCATGACCCCATCCTTCAAGACTCTACCAGCCTTGCTTATATTATATGTTTCTTGTACTTTCACAAACCAGACTACCCCATTTAAAGCACAGGCCTTTGTGTGTTTGTGATTTTATGTCCTAAAGGAGCTCAAAGTCTGGTATGTAGCACCATATTAAATAGACGTGCCAGATAAAGGATGGACACAGCAATGAAATGAGCAGATAGCTCAACGGATGGATGGAGGAATGGATGGACAGTTGGATCAGTCTCTGTGGTCCCTTAAAGTGTGAAATTATTTTTTTCTCAGTGATAAGAAAACAATCAATAGAAATCTGTGAGTCAGAAGAGTGACTGGTCAGAACGGCCCAGGCTATCGGGGAATGTGGAAAGGGCTGTATGAAAACAGGCATAAAAATTAAAAATGACAAATGGCTGGAGCAAACTAGAGATGGGAAATGTCAGCCCCTAATAAAATTTCTTGCTTTTAGAGCAAAGGGCATTGTGGAAGCTGAGGCCTCTAAGCTTTCTGCTGGACTTGGTGTTTTACACAAAGCTCAGCTTTTTTTTTTTTTATCTGTGTGAACATCTGGAAAGGCTCTTAGAAGCATCTTTCTCTTTATTTTCTTTTCGTTTTTTAAATTTTTTTTCACTTTATATTTCGATTGTGGCCCCCTCTCTCATCTCCTCCTAGTCCCATCTCCCCTTCCCCTTCCCTCCCATGCCCCTTCCCTAATACACTGACATGGGGAGCCCTCCTCCCCTACCATCTGACCCCAGCCTATCAAGTCATTAGGACTGCCTGTATTCTCTTTCTCTGTGGCCTAGCAATGCCCAGCTGCCAGGGGGAAGTGATCAAAGAGCAGACAACGGAGTCCATGTCAGAGAGAGTCCTTGATCCCCTTACAAGGGAACCCACATGTAGACTGAGCTGTCATGGGTTACATCTGAGCCAGGGGTCTAGGTCCTCTCCATGCATGGTTC